TGTGTGTGTGTGTGTGTGTGTGTGTGTGTGTGTGTGTGTTTAACTGCTAGCCCTTTACTTTTTTGTTATTTGCTTTTTTGGGGAGCCTGCCACCCAGCTCCCAAATAAATTATATACAGAGTCTTATCCTTTCTTATGACCTTAGCTTGGCTTCCTTCTAGCTACTTTTTTTCCCTTTGGTTTTTCGAGAAAGGATTTCTCTGTATTGTTTTGGAGCCTGTCCTGGAACTCGCTCTGTAGACCAGGCTGGCCTTGAGATCTGAGATCTGCCTGCCCCTACCTCCTGAGTGCTGGGATTAAAGTCGTGTACCACCAACACCCAGCCTAGCCAGTTTTTCTTAAATTATCCTGTCTACTTTTTGCCTCTGGGCTTTTACCTTTCTCTGTTTCTGTATACTTTTCTTTACTTCTTACTCCATGGTTTGCCATGCAGCTGGGTGGCTGACCCCTTGTGTCTTCCTCCTCCTCTTACTCCTAGATCTTTTTCTCTGCCTGCTTATTCTCTTTGCCTGCCAGCCGGGCCTATCCTTTCTCTTGCCTTGCTATTGGCTGTTCAGATCTTAATTAGACAAGCAAAGTAGCACAGCTTCACAGAGTTAAACAAATGCAACATAAAAGAATGCAACACATCTTTTGCATCATTAAACAAATGTTCCCCAGCATAAACAAATGCAATGCATCTTAAAATAATATTTTACAACACATGCGTGTCCCTGGGGAGCCCACCTGAAGAGGATATGACCTCACAGTTGCAACTGGGGCAGGGACAGCTGCATGACTCTGGAGGGAGAAGCTCACAAGCACTCTTTGGGCTTTGCAGAGGTTTGAAGGGCTAAGTCTGTTCTCTCTAGCTCCTCTCTTTTGCTCTTTCTATGAACCATTGGAGGGTCTTCATGATGCTGAGTGGTGGCTGGAGGGTGCCCCTCTCACCCCTTTTCTCAGCTGTCATCCATGAGGCATTGATATTGTTTCTGGCTTCACAGTGCTGTGGGTGATGCTGTCATGTACACCTTTGTGTACAAGGCCGTTTCTGCTCTGAGACTCATTTGCTCAGGCTAGACCACGGTGAAAGCATGGGGCACACACATACTCAAGACTCATGACTTATCCTGGTACAGTCTACAAGCACTCTCCAAAAACGCAGCTAGTCTCTTCCTGCTCCATAAAAAAGGAAAAAAAAAAGATCTTATGGACCCAAATCCCTCCCTCACACCATCTAATATCAGCAAACATTTTATTTCCTGTAAGATTGCTTTGCACTGGTCAAAGAATATGTGGCCAGTTGACTGTATACATCCACTCCTGGTAGGAAGCAGTCAAGGCTACTCTTACTTTGTAGATGGATTCCTTGGAGGATAGAGAGGTGTGTGACTGTGAATATGCCATACAGTATGGGAGAGGGCAGGGTTGTCCTTCAAAGCGGGTAATTTTGGCATGGAAGGGTACACTCCCCTGGCGATCTTTTCATCTCCCCTTTGCCATCCTCTGCTCTTGAAGTCTGTCCAATCTGTTGTGAAAGAGACACTGCTGTCCCCATAGAACAGCCCCTTAACTTTGGAATCAGGCAGCCCCGAGTGCCCACCTTGTCTCCCCTCCTTGGCTTAGGCTTCTTCTGTATATATTATATTATTTATTTATTTATTTATTTATTTATTTATTGGTTTTTTGAGACAGGGTTTCTCTGTGGCTTTGGAGCCTGTCCTGGAACTAGCTCTTGTAAACCAGACAGAGATCCACCTGCCTCTGCCTCCCGAGTGCTGGGATTAAAGGCATGCACCACCAACGCCCGGCCTTCTTTTTATTTTATTTTTATTTATTTATTTATTTTTTGGTTTTTTGAGACAGGGTTTCTCTGTGTAGCTTTGGAGCTTATCCTGTCACTTGCTTTGGAGACCAGACTGGCCTCGAACTCACAGAGATCTGCCTGCCTCTACCTCCCGAGTGCTGGGATTAAAGGCGTGTCCACCAATGCCCGGCAATTTTTAAATGATTTATTTACATGAGCTTTGGTGTTTTGCCTGCATATATGTCTGTGTGGGGTGTGTCAAATCACCTGCACCTGGAATTACAGGCAGTTGTGAGCTGCTGTGTGGGTGCTGGGAATTGAACCTTGGTCCTCTGGAAGAGCAGCCAGTGCTCTTAACCTCTCAGCTATCTCTCCAGCTCCCTCCCCGCTTCCTCCTTGGCTTCTGGGTGGCCTTGGGAAAATTCCATGCCTTCTCTGAGCTTCAGTCTCCTTACCTGTACCATGGTAGGCTCAAATGTAGCCCCAAGCGGGTAGGAAGCCCCGAGGGCCTGATAGCCAGCCACCCTCACCTTGGGAAGATGTGGGGCTCACCAGCTGTTGCTCCCTGCCTGCCTATCTGCAGATGAACGGGGTAAGGACCACCTCCGTGCAGGCAAACTCAACCTGGTAGACCTAGCAGGCAGTGAGCGACAATCCAAGACTGGGGCCACAGGGGAAAGACTGAAGGAGGCCACCAAGATCAACCTGTCACTGTCAGCACTGGGCAATGTCATCTCGGCTCTGGTGGATGGACGTTGCAAGCACATCCCTTACCGAGACTCAAAGCTGACGCGACTGCTACAGGACTCACTGGGAGGCAACACCAAGACTCTGATGGTGGCCTGCCTGTCTCCTGCCGACAACAATTACGACGAGAGCCTCAGCACCCTGCGCTATGCCAACCGAGCCAAGAATATCAAGAACAAACCACGCATTAACGAAGACCCCAAGGACGCGCTACTTCGAGAGTACCAGGAGGAGATCAAGAGGCTAAAGGCCATCCTGGCCCAGCAGATGGGCCCTGGCCATCTGTCAGGTGGGACAGCCTGGGGAAGCAGGAGAGTGGAGGGCCAAGCAGTTTTCCCATCGAAAGAAATGCCCTTACTTTTTCTGACCCCCATAGGCAGGTCCTTTGTCACCACTCAGCTCACATACTTGAGTGGTAATGGCCTCTACCTGCCTGTGGCTCCAGAGAGAGGCCTGGCTGGCTGGCATATCCAGTCAGCCATAAGCTCACAGTCCACTCCCCGCCTCAGGCTTGCTCATCTGTCTACCCAGCTGTCTGCCTGGCTCAGCGGCAGGGGCGTCATGTACTCAGCATCTGGGTGACTCACCTCCTCACATTCCACCCCAGCTCCTGGAATTGCAGCTGCCATTCGCAGTCTGTCATCTGGCAGGCATAGAAACACAGGCCTGCAGGGCTTGAGGAGATGCCAGGGTGTTCTGTTGCCATCTCTTAGGAACAGTGAGCATAGAAGAGTCTAGCACCAGCCCCTTGGTCCTCCTGTCCACCTGCCGCCGTTGCCCCGTTCTAGACCGTTATCTACCCACCGCCCAATCTCCTCCCGTCAAAGCCCCCCTCCCTCTCATACCTTCCCACGCTCTTGCCTCCCTTCCACCCACTCCATGGCTTTCACAGTGCCCGCTCATCCATCCTTCCAACACCCACCCACCCTCGCAGACCACAGACCGTGTGCTGCTCTAACTGTGTGCGAGACTCCTAGCCTAGTGCTCAGTAACATTAATGCAGGGCCTCTCAGCCTCCCTCTTCCCTGTTAGTGCATTTTCCTCTTCTCTCTGACCCTTTAGCAAGATGTGGAGTGTCTGTCTGCCTCTTCTGCCTGCCTCTGCTGGCTTCCATTTCTCTCCCCCACACCCTCTTCTTGCCCCTAATCCAGGCAGGCCAGCCCCACCTATGGAATAGCCCTTGTCTCATGGCCTCTGCTGTGACCCACTTCTCTAAACCCTTACTGTTGGGGCTGGAGAGGTGACTCTGGTTAAGAACACCGACTGCTTTTCCAGAGGACCAGGGTTTGATTCCCAGCGAGCACATGGCAGCTCACAACAGTCTGTGATTCTGAGCACCCCACCCCTGCCTTTCCTTTGTATTCATTACACATTTGCACACTCGCTTGCTTCTCTCCCCTAGTGCACGCACAGTGCACGTGGTGAGGAGCTGTGTCTAGCGCTACTCCCCCAATGTCCTGAACTCTCAGCTGACTGGTCAATTGCATTTTACATAGAGTGGGTGCCTCACTCGCTCTTGACTCCTCATGTCTCTTTATCTTCAGCCCTGCTGTCCACTCAGACACCCGTGAGCCCTGCTCAGCCTGAGGAGAAGCAACTGCCTCCCGCTGCTGTACAGCATGACACTGAGGCAGAGAAGCAGCTGATCCGGGAGGTGAGACCCCCAGCGAGTCGGCAATATGGAGGAGAGGGTATCCCAGGGAGAGCCAGTGTGAAGGAGAGGGTGTCTCAAGGAGAGCCGGTGCCTGTAGGTTGTCACCCTGATTCACTCCCCATGGGGTTGGCATCATGGTGCCCTTTTTGTTTCTGAGGAAGCTGGGCTTCAAAGAGATGTCGCAACTTTTCCCAAGCTATAGGGAAGATGAGAATATCCAAGAGTTGGATCTAGGACCCAGGAACTTGGGTTCCTGACTTAGACTGCTGTTGGTGTCACAGTAGAACCTGTGTGGGGGAGAACTGAGGACCAGGGACATCCCCAAGAGAAGGTCTCCTTGGTAATGCTGTGTCTTAGTTTGGGTGTCTATTGCTGTGAAGAGATGCCATGATCATGACAACTCTTTTTTTTTTTTTTTTTTTTTTTTTTTTTGTTTTTGTTTTTTTTTGGAAACGGGTTTTCTGTGGGCTTTTG